TAGAAGTAAAATATTTTAAATAAACAATGCAATGAAAGTACACAAAATTTAAGATTTGTCATAAATAAAGTTTATACAAAACAGAGGAACGCAGAACAGTATAATAAAGAATGAGAACAAACGTAATAACCAAAGGAAAAACACAAATCCTTTATGTGAAATGAAAATAGAAACTAAATTTCAATTCTCTTTGAAAGCTATACAAAGGACATGCTTGGAATTCGTATTATATAAAACAATAGTTTATTGGAATAAATTTTAATAATCAATAAAGGTGTTGTTGGTAAGAAAAACGTATATCCAAATATTGTCTTCGATCTTACATGTATTCAGCAGACAAATGGCAGACACGAAAAATTATGGTGCTCTAAATTTTCTTTATCAGACTGTAATCAACTCCAACGTGAAGTCTAAAATTAAGAATACTTACGGGTCATTCTTTCAGTTCTTGATCTCCGATAAACAAGTACTTAAAAATTTAGTCCCGAGAGAATGCCGCGAAAAAGCACGGCCGAGTACCTCTGTTCTTTACAAGTACACACTAATTTCTAAACCAAAATAAATCTTGCGTCGTCTCAGTCGGTGATCATCGATGTGCGTGCCATCTGCACGCAAGTTCGACTTTCATTGTCGTTTTTAAATGTAAGGAATACATTAGCCACTCGATAATTGATCATCTCGGAGCTGTAGGGTGTAAATCTTTAGATTGGAATCCGAAAGTTGCTGGAACTATGAACATTTTGACAGGATAATAATATACATGGAACTTTGAAACTTTTCTAAGTTTTACAACGAAATTGGGTGAACCTCGATATGTATTAGCATCGACTAGGTATAGGATAGACGTCCCATATCATCTTATGGGACTTCGTGTCTAATGTTCTGAAATACCGATAGTGTACAAAGTCAGGGATTTTCTGCTGCCCCTTACGTTATAAGAACGGTGAATTTGTGAACTACGTTAAATCTATTCGAACTCAACTAGTCTAACTTCTACAGTGTTGTCGAGTCTAAAGTACGCAATATTGTCAGATCTTAAGATCAAGCCCGCTTAAAATGAACGTTATTCGTCTCAAATTGTCTCTCAAGACTTAATGCATGGACCCAATAGTGCAGAACCCCTGAATTAGTAAAATTAGATATGCCTGTATTACCGTAGCCCCTTATGGGGCGGTAACCCTACTTGCAACAGATTTCGATTACATTTACACCGCTGAACGGACATCATTTTTCCTCTCGTCACGCATCAAATTCGAAGTTTGAACAACGTAGATTAGTTCTTTCTAGCGACTGGACACCAATAATAACAAGAACATTGTTAAAATCACATTTATTTGCAACGGTTCACACTGTATCCCGTCATGCGTACCCTGCTTAGTTCACTTTGAACAACTCTTACAACGTTATGCTAACAGCTTTCGTCTTGACCAAGCATTCAATTTGTAGCTGAAAGAACGTAGATTAATGCCCTGTCATGGATAATAACTATAAACGACGATAAAATCGCATTTAATCGCGGAATACCACTATTTTTTCGACCGGTGGCGCCACCCATGGCATTTCGCTCAAACTGCTAGTCAAATCATACCGACAGGTGAGTGAGAATTCCTAGTGATGGAAAAATGCGAATATCTCAGTAAATTAGCGCTTGAAATGAACGCAGTTAGTCTCAAATTACTCCTGATGTCCCAGTGTATCGAATCAATACCGCAATACCCCATAATTGGAAGAATTATTTCTGTCAACACTGCATATGTACTATGAACACTGGTAGAAATAATTCCTCTAATTATAGAGTTCTGCTGCATTCGGTCGACGCATTGAATAGTCGGAAAGAATTTAAGACTAGCAACGTTATCTTTGAGCGCCTAATTACTGAGATATTCGCATTTTTCCATCACTAGGAATTCTCACTCACCTGTCGGTATGATTTGGCTAGTAGTTTGAGCGAATTGCCACGGGTGGCGCCACCAGTCGAGAAATAGTGGTATTCCACGTTTAAATGTAATTTTAACAATGTTCTCGTCGTTTATTGTTGTTGTCAATGGACGTTCTTTAAGCTACAGATACAAGCTTGCTCAAGACGACAGCTGTTAGTATAACGTTGTAAGAGTTGTCCAAAGTGAACTAAACAGGGTACGCATGACCGGATACAGTGTGAACCGTTAAAGTACGCATGAGTGTTCGGTTCGTCGGATAATCATCGAAGGGACCATGGTCGTGAACGAATTCTCTTCCGTCCTTTCGCTGTAAAGTAGACGTATTAGAAAGGAGTCTCGGTTTCGAATCCCGACGGACCTATTGGTTTTTTTTCGCGTACAAAAAAGTTATTGCGTTTAATATTGTTTTTATGAATATGTATATGTATTATTATGTACATTTAAGTGAATTATATTATTATTCCATTGTTATTACAACAGTTTAACAGTGACAACGAACACATGTATATTTTCAAATATCGGACTAATAGTATATTTTTATTCTATATTATTACATATAAGTGAGTAATACGTATCAAAAACGTAATCGAAACGCAGATTTTTATTACACCACAAACATCGCATAAGAGATATTTCGTTACGTTGATATTTGTAATAATTATGGATGTTGCGGGGAAATCAATATTATTGACATTATGGAACATATAACGAAATATCACTGTGACACTTAAAAAAGTTTTAAAGTTCCATTTATATCATTGTCCTGTGAAAATGTTCATACTTCCAGCAGCATTCATATTCCAATCAAAGAATTTACAGAATAAGGAAAAGGAATCTAAAGTAATTTTCAGTAGTTCCATACATCTTTATCTCGAATAATTTTCTAAAACATTCAAAGTACTAGACATTTTTACACTTTGAATCTCATATCGATTTCTAAAATAATCCTAGTTCCATGTAATATAGAACGTGGTTTTATGAGATAGATTCGAACTTCGCAGCCATTAGCTCGATATTGTCTTCAGTTTACAGTACTTTACCGATGACAATACCGATTGCCCAGGCCTCACCACGAGGAGGTTGCTGCGAGTGGAGGCCCAAGGCAAGTAGATGGAATCACAAGTTCTACATCTACCCACCTTTCACAATA